AGTTTAAATTACTTTTTCGCAAGAATGGAAACATAGTGAATATTACTTGTTTGTAAATTTGTTACAATATTTTATTAGACTTGCTTGTTGTGCGCTTATCTCTCTCAATGTGAGCGGTCCAAGTTACATAAGTCTGACCGTCATATCTTGTTTTCTGTGTGCATCGTGGAAAAAAGATCCACTGAAATAAATCGCGTTAACACTTAGACCGTCACGTCACCTATACCTGGATGACAGGTGAGTTTTTGCAGGCACTCCGTTATGCATACATGAGTGACGGTTTTGATAAATGACATAGGAATGATTTGACGGATTACTTGTAGAAATATCGAATAAAATCTATTTCTGTGTGTGCGTGGAATTCTTTTTCTCGATGTGCATTTAATTCGAGAAATGTACGAGATATTAAGCTCGATATTTACGTCGGGGAATTGCGGGGTATTACAGCCGACTTGAAATTACATCAGCAATGTTACTTTTGTCTCCCCTACCTTGGACATAGGGAATAACTTTTTATCGAGATATTATAAGCGGCCCGTTTACGAGAGCCGTGTCATAAAGTGAATGCGCTTTATACATTTCTCGGTAGATGTCCCGGGGATTGCGAGCGCGCTGCTGTATATCAGCCTTCTCGCGCCTTTTAGCACTCCATATTCCACATAATAGCTATAAATATTTTTATTCCCACAATTTTTCGCCAACGAGCGACGAGCATGCTCCGCTTGGGAAAATAGCGGCGTCGACACTGCGCGCTATATAGATTATGATAAATTTCGAGTCGTCTTGCTCTCCCACCGTCATCGGCGTTATCGTCGTCATTCCGTTGTCTTTATCGTCGAGCGATCAGAGGCGCCAGCTTGATACATCGATATATTCCCGTCTCGATGAGGTAGCAAAAAACGGAAAGTGTCTCGGTGCTATTCGATGTACGGGAGCGAGTGAGTGAGATCGCGTTGGTGGAGGATCCTGCGGAAATTGTAATTGTGCACGAAAAAGAAGAATATTCTTGTTTTGAGAAGATTTCCGAATTCTCAACATGTTTGTTATTTCATGCCGAAGTAAGATTATATAGACTAAGAATCACAATTTCTTTAACTCGAAATTAAATTATTTTTATTTGAATATATCATCTTACTCTTGGAGAGAGAGAGAGAGAGAGAGAGCAGTTTGTAATATTAAATTGAATTATTGAAAGTTTTTATAATAACAATTTCTTTGTCTTATTTCAAAATTGAGGAAATAAGAAGATGGAAAAATGGAAAGAGCAGACACTCGGCAAGCAAAAGGTCCCGAATTCGAATCCTTCCAGCAACTCTGGCGTTTCCGGATTTTCTCCGATTCTTATAAGAGTCAGATTTTATATTCAAGATCATCTTAAGAGTATCTTCAAATATTATACTGGTGGTTTCATTGACAACAAAATATCTGAAGATGAACCCAACCTAAGACGGTCTTAAATATAAGACCTGATTTGTATTTTGAAATGAACGTTCATATTGTTGAAAGAAGATTACCATAGATTTGATTCAAATATAGAGTTATTCAAAATGACACATTTATCTTTTTGATATGATTTTTTTTTAATTTTACAAGATTTATTATTTTCAGAATAATCATATTGTGATCTGTAGTGGACTGTCGTAATCTTACAATAACATTATGATATCGTTGAAATTCACGAATATTATATTTTTGTAAGAAGATAACATATTCTTGCTTATATGTGAAACAATGATTGCGTCCATTAGAATAAATAAGTGATCTTAAATTGACACTTAATTTTTTTCCGTATACGAAGCGCGCCAAACGACGGTCGGACGGATGAAATAATCGGCCAGCCGGCCGCTAATTAACGCGCACCGCCACAATAATTAGAATTCGAGATTCGGATGCGTCGAATGTTTACGGGGGAGGCCCCGCTGCATCATCGCGCTTTACGCTTGCGGGAATGTTGAAGGGTGCGGATTTCTGTTGGGCGCGGCTTCGCTGGCTCGCCGGGAATTAGATTCGGGAAATGAAACGCCCGTGTGCACACCTTCGGACACATTCTCGTTCCGTTGCAATTTGCATAGCGCTTTTTACGCCTACCACCGCGATAAAGTTTACAATTCGCGTTTTAAGCGTGCTCGCGAACGTCGTACCGCGTATACTTTTAGGGTGAGGGGGAGTCGTGTCGTTCTAGCCAACTCATTCTCTTCCTCCCCCATGGCCTATTTTTCCATCCTGCCGCCCTTCCCTCCTCCTCTTTTTCACCATACTCATTCTTATTGTGTTTCATTAAGGGGAGGGCGAAAAGTTTGAACTCGTAAAAGATCGTTAAAATTTTGCTCGTTATTATAAATGAAGGAATTAATTAATTAATTAATTAATACGAAATATCTTTGCAAGTTTTTTATATTATACAGGGTGTCTCAAACTAATCTTGGTTACCATGGTGTGCAAGTAGAACGGGTGAAACTGAGCAGAAAAGTCCTATACCATTTTGTAAATAATACGCAAAATTTCGAGTTATCAATGATTGAAAATGGCCATGTATAGAGGTTTCTTTAATTAATAATGGTTATTTTGGGATATCCTGTATAGCATAGGAACACCTTGGTGAATATAATTAATATACAAGGAAATATATATAAATATGCATTATATAAGCATAAGTCATAAGGATATCGTCACAGCTGTTGGACTCGCTACTTGAAATCATTTTGTCTTACATTGTATACTTCGATCTAAATTTAATATCAGCATTCATTGCTGTAACTTTGCTCTATGTGTGCTTCTTTAACTGTAGAATATTTAATGATATATGCATTGATATTTTTGGTGCATGCGATAATGTATTTAAATTGTAAAATATAAAATATATATGTATAGCACTATATTTTAACGGTAATTGTGAATTTTCGGTCATTCTCGCGATTACTATCTTGCTGACGGTCAGCGCAAAAAATTTAATACCTCCGGCCTTCGAAAAATCATAACCCGCTTCGGATTTGCGCTATTTTCTTCGAGTTCTTTATTCTCGTGTGGAAGATTAACAATCTTGATGTACGGTACAGAGAAAAAGAGATGGAACGGAAAGGCGAGAAAGGGAAAAGGATGCCGAGGGGAGCGATCTCGCGAGCGCGGAATTCATAAATTCACAGGATTAAGCCTCTAAAGTATGAAAAATAGCGGGATAAGTGCGGGGTGCGAATATGGCCGCGGATGGTCTGCTTTATTGATTTGCGACGAAAAAGAAGATCATAAAAACATCTATACGCGGAATATCCACAGATCTTTGTTCCTTTTAATCGAACTAATTCGATTAATAACGCCACGTTTTTAATCTCATCTTTAAGGAGACGCTTGAGGGGATGTCGAAATGCCGGAATTCATTAGAGTTCACCGGGATTTCTCGAGCAAACTGTTTGTTAATTATTACCAAATTTTTTTTTAGTGTAGACGCAGAAAATTATAGTTAACTTTGGAGAACCGTTGGGATTACGCAGACTTTCCTCGTTGGCTTTCGGAAAACACTTGCCGCACCGAGACGTATACCATCCTGCCATGTGCTTTAAAACTTCGTCCATCTGGAAAATCGCCGTCCCTACGAGGATTTGCTCATTTTAGCCTCTATGACTGTTTCGTAACTTCGTAGTAACTGCTTTGCAAATATTTCCAGTTTAAAAACTTGTACTTACGGACCTGAGAAGTCGACTTCATGTCAGTGGAAATTACAAATGCACTAAAACGGTCTTGTTTTCTTTTTATTTTTGCGAAACGCTACTTTAGAGTTCTAATAAATTTGTGGGACAGTCGACAGTATTATCAGCATAACAAAACGATGTTAAAACGTTAACCCTTTAATTCACCTGGACGCAGAATTTTACTATTGCACGCACAGCTTTCTCGCCGAATATATATAACAGATAATAGCAGCGCGATCGAAATTTATTATTTCCAGAGTCGGGAAGTAACGTGTAACTTATAGAACCATCACCTATCATCGTTATTTTTTAAAATGATGATTTGATAACGACGTTATAGTCTAACGTTATAGTTAATCTAAGTATTAGTAAGACTCGTTATTGTTATTTAAAAATTGCGAACGAGTTACTGTTATCGTGATTAATGAAATAATAGCGTCATCACTAAGTCGTTACTGAAAAGAAGTAACAACTTGTAACAGTTACGTCGTTAATTTGTTACTTCTCGGTATTATCACATCACAGAGAAACCTCGGCGTGTCGAAACGATCTATATATCTCCGACGTAAATTTTCATAAAAAAAAAGTTTCCCAACCAACGTTATTCTTTAATCTCTGGAAAAAAACGAACATTTACGATCGAGCCGTAAAAATGCTGGAATAGAACGGCAACACAGCGGGACGAAGGAAGAACGATGAGGATGAAAATTCGCGCATAGTTGCATCACGTTCATAAGGCGCAATCCCCCGCGAATGCAAAATTCCGTTTAACGTTCGAGCGGCGGACTTACGACGACTAACGACCGGCGACATTTTCGACACGTTCGACGGTTAAAGTGGAGGAATCACGTTGTCGTGCCGATCGTCGGAGGATGACGCGATCACGGCCACGAAGGAAGTTTTGCCGCGACAATTTTGCACGTTGTTGAATTGAAAAGCCGACGTAAGCCCGGCGACTTTACCGCACGAGAGACCATTAAACTCGAAAACGCGGGGAAGCTACTGCCGTCCGGTGGGGGAGTTGGGATTTTCGAAAACACCTGTCGAACTGTCTTTTATCCCCTCTCTCCGCAGTGCACTTTAAAACTCCGTTCACCCGAAGAGATCTCGTTACCTCTTCCTCGACTTCTGACCGACACTTCGTCCTATTCTTGTAGCACGTGGAGGATGACATTGTTACACTATTCTATCAGATCTACGACATCAAGAGGTGACGGTATAATTAAGTAGAAACGCTAAAAAGAACTATATATTTGAAAACGCTACATGTTATAAAATATCATTGCAATGACGTTGTATTAACGATTTCTTGCTTAGTGAATATTCACGAGGAGCCGTTGTTTTCATCGGAATAAAGATGTAGAGTTTCGCCAGAAGCTTTCTTCGAAAGAAGAAAAGAAGCTCGTCGTTCACTTAATTGCGAGTGTATTCCGGCTGGAGTGGGTTTCCATTTTGCGATATAATTCCCGGGATAATTATTGTCGAGAGGTTTCTGTGAAAAGCGAGACGCCCGGTTTCACATGGAATTTTCGTTTCACCGCCGATGGATTGGATTCGCCGCATGCTTTCGCGTATTCGTCTTCCGGCCCGGAGTTCGCTATAGAGACTTTATGGGATCCGCGGGAGTTACTTCCGCTGTATATATCAAGGCTTCTTGCCGATGAAACGGCGGAACTTTTTCCCGCTAAGTGAATGATGCACATACCAGATGATGATAACGCCGGATGAAGTGGCTTCTCACAACGCGAAGCCTCTTGAAGAGATATTTGATCTTCCGCGACGGGAGAGCAATGGGAGAGAATGTTTTCTTCGAAGAATGTATCGAAAAGGCGTCTCGCTCCTTCTAACTGCGCGGGTACAACCCTATAAGTGAGTAATATTCTTAGAATATTATGTGAATATTTTATATATTAAATAATATTATTTTTAAATATTATTAGGAGTAAACAACTACCTATTAATATTCCGGAAATAATACTTAACATAAAATAATATTACTAGAACATTACTAGAATATTCCAATCTAATAATCTAATATTTAAGAATATGCTCGGAATATTACTTAATATTAAATAATATTACGTGCTTATAGGAGACATAAAGTATATTGTGAAGTATCGTAAGTTAAGTTGTCTCGTACCTTTGAACTTAGCGAGACTAGGGCAGCAATCACATAAGTTTTCCCCTAGAATGAAAAGTGAAAAGTGAAAACTCTCAGGTGAAATCGTGATCGTATAACTCGGCGAAACGTGGAAACGTGAAACTTTTCATGTGAACTTTTTCGCCAAATCAAACTTGCTGGCGAAAAAGTGAAAATCTAGTGACATGGTAAATATGGAATATAATATCATACTATTACTGTTGAGATGTAGGAAACTTTACGGCCCTAAGGTTGTAATGATGTTTTTAAAGTTAGATGTTCTACAAATGACAGCTTATTCGGCTGATATCACATTAAGAAAATACATTTGGTTATGTATAAAAATTTTATGAAAGATTTTAAATTTTGATTATGGCTGCAGCGTGGTGGGTACTTCAATTCGCTGAAGAAGAAGAAGAAAGGCATTTAACATAATATAAAGGAGAAATTTACGCAGCTAATGCATTTGAATTATGGGAGTCTCAATTTATCCTTTTGTATCGGTAAGTAAATACCTTGCGGCAAATAAAATTAAATTTAAATAAAATATTGATAAAGAATTATACATATTACTGTAAGTCATATTAGAAATATACGTATAAAAGTTTATAAAATATTGATTTTAAATTTAAGTTTTTATATACGAAAATGTGTGAAATTATTATAGCTTGCCTGTTGCATATATTGCTTATTAAATTAAAATTGTTCTTATATATAATTAAATATAAAATATATATATTAAATATTAAATAAATATATATTATACACAAGTATATTAAGTGCCAGTAATTTATTTTAATCTCTACATGAGCCGTGATTAGTGATTTGTGCTTTTCACGCAAAGAGAGTTACGTGATCGTGTGAATAGTGAAAAAGTTCACGTGAAGTCGATAAAGTCGAAAAGTGAAAAATGAAAAGTTTCCCGCAAAAGTTACGTGATCGCTACCCAAAGCTGATCGTCTTAACTTTTCAGCAACCGATCGTCTTAGCCGGGTCTCATCCTCGACGAGAACTGCGCCTCGTTCGCTGTGAAACGCTCGTGATGACGGGAATTTGAATGTTGGAAGTAATTTCACCTCCAGACGTTCTAATGGCCATTCGAGCGAAATCGCAGCAGTTAGATACTGTAATCGCGCATTGTTCCATGCTGAAAGAACGCGCTTAGTTGCGTATCGATGAATTCTTGTCGCACTCGCTAATGGCTTTGGACTGAGTAAACTAAAGTTTAGTGACAGTGCGCGCGCGTGTGTGTACGCGCGTGCAATTATAACTCTCGCTATTTATACCTTTGCCACGCCCCGCATAGAAAATTTCATGGGATCTAATCAAGGTCTAATTCGATTTCCCAAAATAGTTATGGATTTTGATCAGAAGCGTAATGTTTTAAACATGCGATTCTAAGTGGGAAATACAAACAGATTCTATTTGATCATCCCAATGTTTTCCCAAAGATTTTTTCTGTTTAAACCTTATTCATAAAAACATAAGGTAAAAAATAGTACACATAGTGATAATGGTCAGATATACATAAGTCGGCATAATACCATTATTTTAACCTAACTTAATTTTTAACACTTACTTAGATTTATCAGAATTTTCCCATCACGTGTGCAAAATGTCTATAGATTATCTCCAAATATCAGTACTTCGATTACTTCGGTGAGAAACATGCGATTGTGGGATTGAGAGGGCAGAAAAACTTGAGGGATGATTCAGGAGAGAGAGAGAGAGAGAGAGAGAGAGAAAACAAGCGACGTACAGCTCGCCGGTATCGCCGTTGCAATAATTTGTCGCGCGATAGCGGCGCGCCTTGCTGTGTGTGTGCGAGCTGGAGAGGACACAAAAGATATTTCACAAGCCCGATACATCCCTCTGCGGCCCCGATGCCATTATACGGCCTTGCGGTGATCTGTGTGTACCCGTAAGCCCTGTGTGATCAGTATCCGTGTCTCCGTGATATACGTCCAATAGCCGTCTTTCGAGAGAGATCATCCTTACCACCGTGTATATAAGTCGGTGTGCAGTCGGCCGGTATGAAATCGCGCTCGTAATATTTCTCCGGCGCCAGCGCTTTTACGGTTCTTGCGGGACACCGAAAGGAACGGAGGAATGGTAGTGCAAGAGTATAATAAAGCGGCGGCGGCCGCCGCCGGGGTGGTCCTCCCCTTTCTCGTGTCTCCCCGCTCTTTCTTACTTTCTTCCGTCCTCCGTGTCTCTCTGTAGGGCTCTTTCGACCTCGCTAAAATAGAGCGTGGCGTGCCCGATGGTACCAGCATAGCGGCCGCAATGAGACCGAGATAGAAATTGATGACGCTCATAATTTACGAGAAATCGCGATTTTTTTTCTGAAGAAACCGGCGAGTATCCGCCGCCGTCTACTTTCGTCCTCTCCTTCGCTCGCGTCGGCCGCGGGCGAGCGAACGTAAAGACGAAGAAAGGGAGAAGAGGAGGAGGCCGGAAGAGGAAGAGATAGCGGGATAGCAGAAGAGGTGAATAAAATCCCGATAAATTTGCATTACACCGTAAATCCGATGCGGCGGCCGCCACACGGAGTATCCGTTTTGGATATCCCCGGCGCTATTTCCCCGCAGGATCGTTCCCGCGGATCGTGCCACCGAACCGTGCCGGGGGAGCGAAGGTAAAGTGCCGCCGATGGAGGAGGCGCCACGTGCGCGGAGATCTCTTTATGCCCCCGAATACGCGCTCGAGAGAGGCGATCACGAGGCAATCGATCGCTTTTCCATGTCGTCCACCAGATATACTACGTGCGCGAACGCCATGTGTGTATGTGTATATATGTACAGGGTGTCCCAAAAAGATTGAGACCCTTAAAAATCTTGAGAAATATAAGTTTTACAGAGAAATGTTTCACATAAAAGTTGTACGGTTTCCAACCGGTCTATTTACCGATCTTATCAGTTTTGACCTTGGATGGCGTCGCCAAGGTCAAGACAAGGTCACCTTAAATTTTTTAAACGGAGTCTCCTATTCTTTTTCTTGCATATTCTTACTTTAGCTCATCTCGACAGCTTTTCAAAACAGTATAATTTTATACACTTTGCAATACCCGGGGGGGGGGGGGGAAGAATATCACGCAAAATCATCGTTGACAATTTAAATGAGCGGAAATTGGCGAAAAAAAGAGCGAGAGGAGTAGCGCGAGAGAGAGAGAGAGAGAGAGAGAGAGAAACAGCAAGAGGCACGTATATCGCACCGTTATTCTCGTCATCTTTCTCGCCTCGTAATCGTTCCCGCCGTTAATTGTCGTTAATTAAAGAAGAGTCTCCCAGAGATTGTGCTCCGCGCTGCTGTTTAATTACGAAAAGGATTCATTAGCGAAGAGACAGTCACCTAACGAGGACAAAACAGCGGCGACGCGGAATCTGACGAGGCAGTCTGGCACTTTCTGGCTGCAACCGTCGCGCGCTGGAACGTGCACGAGTGTGGCGTGGCGGTTGACGCAGAGGAAGGGAGAGCTCTGTGCCAGCCCTCCTCGCGGTAAACAACCAGAAACAAGAAAAGTATGTCTGCGTCCTTCTTCCTCCTACCTTCTCTTCCTTCCTTTCTTCGATATTCCGATGCTTGAATAGCGCCTCTGTGTAAGTTTTTAACTTCGAAACAGTACAATTGCAAAAATTGTATGAAGAGAGAGAGAGAGAGAGAGAGAGGGAGAAGCTATTCTATTATTGCGCGTATCAAGGCGAAACACGATCTGGCGAGTGCAAGATTTCGAGACATAGTCAACGTCGTCGGCACACGAATATCTAGATAAAATGTTCTACGAACAAAGGAATCCGTTTGTATTTCCCACTTAGAATCTCACGTTTAAAATGTAACACTTTTAATCAAAACCCATTACTTTGGGAGATTGAATAGATCCTGATTAAAGCCTAAGAAATGTTTTATGCGGGTAGTAGTACATTTGTCAATACATTGGCCGCTTCATCGGCCAATCTAGCGCCAATGAAGTGTACCGCTAGGGGAGTACTTGAATATTCGAATCATTTCAATTTATGCATCCGGGACGCTAGGCTCTCTACCACTGCGTCTTAGTTAAAAACCGTGTGACGACGACCTGTAACGCGTTAACCTTTTCGACGGGTACAGGCCATGGAAACATGCTCGCCAGCCGGAATGGGATCCACCCTAAATATGTCCGCGCACTCGCGAAAATTCTCCTCTCGCCGGCGCTCTTCAATATTCAACCCCGACCACGTTTGTCGACTTTCCTACTCTACACCCCCTTCCCTCTCCGTCACTCAATGTTCACCTCCTCTTTTCACATTTGTCTCTCTCTTCCTTTCACTTTTCCATCTTTCTCTCTGTCCTTTTCGCTCTGCTCTTTTTTGTACTTTCTCTTCTTCCATTACACACACACACACACACACACACACACACATACACACACACATATATATATTCACGTACGGGCGGCTTTCTGCCCGCGTATTCCCGCTCGAACGGTCGAAGGTTTATTGCCCGGTGCGGGCTAAAATCTCCGAGTGAAAATTCTACTCGGCCGCCGCTTCCGAATCCACCGCGAAATTGGACATAAATTTGCAGCGCTGCCCCGCAAAGACGCCGTGCCGCGTCCTTCGGTCGTCCGTCCTCTTACCCTTTTCGTCCTGTGCCTTTTCACTACACGCGAGAATCGTTCGCCGGTTTCAACCAGGAAATAAGCGATGGACCGTGGATGTGTTCGACGGCGTCAAGGGGATGACGCGGATCAGATCGAGATGAGTCCGGCAGCGTTTCGCTTCGCGAGAAACAAAAGTTTCCGGATTAATAATCCCAAGACGATTTATCGCGGCAAAAATTCGTGCCACAGCGTGATTCGAATAGGATATCCGTCGGATATAAATCGCTCGTAGCGCGCCGTGTCAGTTTTCTCAACAGTCAGGGAGATTTTTCAGAATTTCGACGCTTCTATTTAGGCAACTAATTGTAATTGCACAATTATGAAGCTCCGAAGGAAAAATTGTGGCGCCATCTCATGGAAATTTGCCGGACTTATCGGACGATCCTCGTGAAACAAGACCTCCTGC